GTTTATGGATTTTTGAGCTTTGCCTGTTTTTCGGTGTAGTCCTGTTTCTCTGATTGTGACGAAATGTATGTGCTCTCTTCATTCTCTGACATCGGAGCTGGCTCGGAGCTCGTCTGCCTGGTTGTGTGTTTCCTGAAAGGTGCCGCCCATGGAGCTGATTGAAAGTTGCCTTTTGTATATCTGCTTCTTTCAGTATATCTGCTTCTGTCTCCTTGAACTCTAGTCAGTCTCGATGGCCGGTCACACTGCGCTTGGTTCTGTTTGAGGTTTCTTCCTTTTAATAATGAGTTTTCCTGCCCACTGTCGCTACAAGCATGCTTGGAATTGCCTTCGAGTCAATGAGTCGATGCAATCAACTGGTTTTCCTTAGATAGAAAACTTTGAATCAATTTGACTGTATGATCTGGTTGATTTGTCTCTGTAAAGTGCCTTGAGATAACGTGTTGTGAATTAGTGCTATGTAAATAAACTGAATAGAGTGTTGGTGTTGTAGTGGCTGTTTTCATGCAGGGGGCAGAGCCTGCCACAGTGCTAAATTGAAGTGTTCAGTTTCCTTTCGTTGTCACTGCAGCAGACGGATCTGGCCCAGTACATGACGCAGCACCCTGGGGGACTTCACTCCCATAACGTGAGGGTATGTTCACACATAGCAGGAAGCACTGCAGGAAAACATATGCAGCTGTTTACATTGGCAATGATGATGATGGTTTCGTGCAGATCTTCATGTTCCAACTGCTCCGGGCTCTCAGTTACATCCACAGTCGTAGGATCCTGCACCGAGACCTGAAGCCTCACAACCTGCTCATCAGCTACCTGGGAGAACTCAAACTGGCTGACTTTGGTGAGGCTGCCCCCTACAGGCTGGGAGAACATTGGCATTTTGTTCTTTCTAGTCAGACAAAAATAGAAACTTCTGCTGCCAGTCGTGGTAATTGAAGGATTCTATGTTTCAGGCCTGGCCCGGTCCAAGTCCGTTCCTACTCAGAACTTCTCCTCAGAAGTAGTGACACTGTGGTATCGGCCACCCGATGTTTTGTTGGGATCCATAGACTATTCTACAGCTCTGGACATGTGGTAAGCGACACCGTCCGACACAACAGGAACCCGACAGCTGCAGCTGTGATGATCAACGATGTTTGCTATGTTTGAATCAGGGGGGCGGGCTGTATCTTCATAGAGATGCTGCAGGGGTCCCCGGCATTCCCAGGAGGTTCTGATGAGCTGGAGCAGCTGCAGAACATCTGGACGGTCAGTTCACTGTTCACTGAGCTCTGAATCAGTAAAGTCAAGCAAGGGGGAAAATGGCAGGATCAGGAAAAAGAAATACAATACAATTAAACCCTCAGTAAAAAAAATACAGTCCAATTAAAAAAAAACATTACTGAATAAAACCCACTCTCCTAATCAAACTTGAAGATGACATACATTTTTTTCCTGATAGATCCATCTGATAGATCCATAATTACATTTACTTCATATACAGCTTTATCCACCCACGTGCCTCTGCGGCTTTAAGTTAATTTCGATAGCATAGCAAGATTTTATTTACGCGGTTTTGGTCAAATTAAATACATGATATTTTAATGATTTCTGTTTCAGTTTTAAACATATATTGAGTAAAAAAAACAAACAAAACAACTCTTTCTGAGAAGGATTCACCCACTAAAATTACAAAGGAGAGTTAGAAGGGCAGCTTGCATGGAGCATTGATACGAACCAAGTGCTGCAAATGGACCCGAAAAATCCTTTAAATTTAGTACTTAAATATTTGCATCAAAAGTTACACAGCGCTGCTTTAAACACCCTCACAAGAAACCACCCACAGAAGAAAATATACTTGACAAATTAGAGGAAAAACTGAAATTATGAAACACCCCCAGGGTGGGATCAAGGTGGGGGGGCACAGCCTATCATTGGCCACCCCTGTGGCTCCCCTACCAGATGATTTGTTGTTCCGACTGGGATGTAATTCACCAATTTTTAAGCAAGCAGTTATTTTCTACATCAGAGGGTGGCGACAGTGACACCATCATCTGGAATCTCCTTGGGAGTGGCGGCCTGGTTCTTAGGGCAAAGGGCTTGGAATCCTGAGGTTGTGAGTTTGAAACCCACTTCCACAGACTCTGAGCAAGACCCTTAACCCCCGATTGCTCCTCGGGCGCTGCACAGTGGCAGCCCACTGCTCCCCAAAGGGGATGGGTTAAATGCAGAGAGTTAATTTCTCCATTCTGAGGTCAATAAATAAAATTTATTCATTTACTTCTATTTTAAAGTCAGTCTGTTAACTTAGGGGGTAGAGTTTATCTCTGTTGCACAACCAATTTATTGTATATATTCTGTTGAACCACAAATTAATTTAAACAGTACAATGTTTAAAAGTGGGTAGGTCTTTAATAAGGGCCTACTGTAAATCTGGTCCACCTACAGCAGGCATCCCCAAAGTCGGTCCTCGAGGGCCGCCGTCTTGCAGTTTTTAGATGTTTCCTTGCTTTAGCCCAGCTGATTCTGATGGTTGCGGTTGAGTAAAGGCCTGTTAATCAGCTTGTAATTAAAATCAGCTGTGCTGGAGGAAGGAAACCTCTAAAACCTGCAGGACGGCGGCCCTCGAGGACCGACTTTGGGGATGCCTGATCTACAGTGATTTGGTTCAATGCCATTTTCACATGGCTTTGAACCTCATCTTTCTTTTACATAAACTCTAAAACTGCCAAGTAGAACATGCAACTTTCTCATTTCAATGAGTGGAATTAAACTGGTTTGCATGTTTTAACATATTTCTGAAGATCAACTGCAACAGGCTCACTTAGTGAACATACTAAAAAAAAAAAAAAAAAGCATGTGCAATTTAGTGCCACTTTTTTGGAAACAAATTTCCATTGACGTGACCCCTCCTTGGCTTGTCAGCAACTGACCACCAGCCCCCTGACCCAAACATTTAAGTGCATTTTATGTATATAGTTTCATATGATTTCATGTAGTTTTCTAGACTTTAGCAAATGTTTTAGAATGACATCCAACCAAGTCTTTAGTACACGAAGCCCTGGGTCTGGAGCCTAACTTCTTATGCTTTTGGATAACTAAATTTAGCAACAGGAAGGACTAATAAAACCCCTTTCCAGTGTTCAAATGTTTTCACATAGTGTTCAGTGAGCTTTAAAGGTTTTAAAACTGTTTCGGTGATCTGATGTTTCTAAACACAAACAGGTTTTTGGTGTCCCTTCAGAGTCCAGCTGGCCTGGAATAAGTCTGCTGCCTAATTACAGACCAGGTGAGCTCACCTGTCCAATTATCCATATTTTGAAGTTAGAAATGATTGTAATTAACCCTTATGTTCTCTTCTTAGAGTGGTTCGTTCACTGCAAGCCGAAACAATTTAGAAACATTTGGAAGAGGTAAGTTAACTAAACAAGATAAAATCTAAGCATTTAGCCACCTGTCTGCAGTCTGTTAGTCTTATGTACACTCGGACTGGGTTGCTGTCACCCCCCCATACAAACACAGCTTCTACAAATCAAACAAAATTGCTGTAAAATATTTATGCAGCTTAAACAGCAAAGGTTTTTGTTTGTTCCATTCTTTACAGTACTGTGATCATTACATATTTAACTAGATACAGGGGTGGAGCAGGACCTCTGCTTGTTTCAAACAGGACCTCAGAGAAGCAGTTGGAAGACGTGCTGGTGCAAAGGCTGGGCCAGCTAACAGCAGTCAGGGTTACATAGGTGTTTTTATCTACAAACCAAGGCTAATTTAGACTCTATAACTGCTGAAAGGTGCAGTTATCAGTTTGTGGTATGTCTCCAATCAGCCTCTGTTTGTCTGGGTCAGGTTGGACCAACTCTCCAATAAGACGGAAGATCTGGTCCAGAAGATACTGAGACTGGTTCCCACCGAACGGATTTCTGCTCAGGAGGCTTTGCTGCATCCGTATTTTAGCATTCTACCTGCTCCCATCATGCATCTCAGAGACAGTAAGACAATCACCCACTACTGAGCTACAAAACAGCTTTTATTTAGATCAGTTTTTATTCCTGAAACACAATCAGGGTAGAAACAAAAGCAACTGTCAGATTATTTGATCCTGGCCCTTTAAGCTCGAATTACTAAAAGGGTGTATTTGGCTAACCTGACTCCGCCTTCCGTAGAAGTAATTTTGGGAAGGGGCGAAAATACTGGTTAGCTGATTGGCCTATGTTGGTGATAGACGGGCCAAATAAACCAATCAGATCAACGAAGCATATGACGTACTAACAGAGCGACGACGAAAACACAACCACAAGCCAGGCTACTCTTGCCGAAACCAGTCGGGAGAAGAGCAAAAACATCTTTTCCTCTGAGAAAAGCCTCCAGAGCAGTGTTTTGCTCTTCTTTCAGTGAAGAAATACTCTGTAATTCCGATAAAACTTGCTCGATAGCCACGCTAACGCTAGTTTCATCGGCTGAAGCCGCCATGTTCTTTAGACTGAACTGTTGCGCTTCTCGTTGTGTCACACCTCAACCCGCCTCAAAGCCAACGCTGTTGGACGTTCGTTTGGTGAACGGCTCCAAATGTTCTTCAACGTAGAGTCTCCAGACTGATTAGCGAGTGAAATCTTGAAAGCTCGCGAGATCAGGATGGTCTCACAAGGCTAGTATTTGGCCATTGTCTGGAAACCCGCAGAGGGGTAGCATCTCATATCTGTTAGCTATGCACTTTTTTATACCAATGCAATCTGAGGTTATTTGAATAGCTTTAAATGCGCCACCCTGTTAGCAGTAACCTCAATAGGTTTTAAGATATTAGTCGGCTTTTCCATAAAACAGACACCTGCACACATTCTGGGCCTTTATTGTTTGAATCGTAATAAATTAAAAACCACATTCTGAATGAAATGAACAATAAAATTAAATGCAATTCATTACGTTTAAATATTTGTTGTGTTTTTTTCAGCTGTGTCCATCTTCAAAGTTCCTGGAGTTTCTCTAGAGACAGAGTTTAGAGACATCTTCAACCCTGGACGAAAACAGAAATCTTCACTGCTTCCTGCTGCAAGTTGTTGGTGACCAAGTTGTCAAATCAATTTAACCGGACCTGACAACAACAGATAAAACGTTTGGATGTGTCTGTTTGTCTACAAAAAGATTTATTCATGGACGTTTACACAAAGTAAATACCACAAAATATTTCTGGTTCAAATTGATTGAATTCTGCCTTCGTCTTTCAGATGTTTCCTTCAAACTCAGCTGTAATCGCCAAGTTGGTGCTTACAATGATTTTGGTGAGAATAGATACATATTATTTTGTAAATTTGTATACATACAGGTTTAAATATAATAGGTAGAGTGGGTGGGAGTGGTATAAGATAAGAACAGAATGCATCTAGTACTCAAACTGTTAAAGGCAATCCAGAGAGACGCTCTGGGGGAAGAAAATCCCTCTTTCCCCAGCATGTGTGGGGTCTGCAAAGATGGTGGTTTCCTTTTTTCTGACCCTAAACCTGTACAGATCCTGGATTAAGTGAAGGTGACCCAGGATGACTTTCTCTGCAGAGCTAACTCTTTGCTTTGTTTAAACCTGTCCTCTCTTGTGAATGTAGCAAACCACAGTATGAAAGACCGTGTCTTACAGCGTCCATGTGAGAGGACCAGCTCAGGATGGGGTGTTCGTTGTAACCGATGGTGATTCACAGCAGGAAACGTATTTTTTAAGGATGGAGATGAGAGGCAGTGAAGGCGGTGTTCTCCAAAACTAAACCTTCATCTACACAGCCCTAAGTAGATGAAGGTGTTGGGTAGATGAAGGTGCACTTCTAGTTATCAAATATGTAAAGTCAGGAGGGAAGTTGAAGCTTGATTGGCTAAAGTGTTTGTGAGTTAGCTACCCCACCCCGTTATCTCATAAGGATGCCGCTTTATTCATCTGGCTACTACTCTGTGTAGCTCTTAAGTTGGGTGGCCAAGGCTTAGAGTCTGTGTTTGTCAGTTTCCAGGGCCTCTGGTTTGAGCATCTGTTATATTTTTGGGATATTCTCTCTCTGAATAAAACCTCCTGGAATTCTGACAGTTGGCTTACTATTTTCCATGTTGCCTGGATTTGTGTAACCGTCTCCTTCATGATGGACATTGTTGTGGACACTCCTAATGTCACTTTTGCCAAACGTCTCAAAGATCACTAATGCTGTACTGCTTATGGGCTCATAGGTTCTTCCACTGTCACAGTAGGGATTGTACTTGGTGCTGTATTCACATCATCTAGGACAGGGGTCTTCAAGGTTTTCCAGGCCAAGGACCTCCAAACTGATGTCACGATGGAACTGGGTCCCCTAATTATATATCTGTATGAAATAGTGTTAAAGCAAACTGGTCCTATAGGCACTCTATTACGTATGGAGTATTGTAACGAAAGTAATTTTGTCATAGGATTATTAAAGTATTGCTGATTCTGATTCCTGGTTGATGGGACAGGTGTTGTGAATGAAACGGTGTCCAGCTTGAAAGAGCTCCTGTGTATCGCTGAATGTTTGCATTGATGACTGAAAGACATCGTCTGCCTCCATTTATCTGTTTACTACAGTGCGTTGAGTTAATGTGTATTTAAAGAAATTTCGGTTAATGGAAAAATTGCAGGGGGGAATATAAAAAAGTCTAATCAAACAAAACTTTCACCACCCCCATGCAGTACCTCTGTGGACCCCCTAGGGATCGCAAACCCCCTGTTGAAAACCTCTGATCTAGGAGATCATATGAAGACAGTTTACTTAACATTGATAACCAGTGATGGAGTTAAAGAGCTCTTGATTTTGCTGTGATCTTATTTCTAACGTTGGTCGTTCTCGCATTCAGCTGTTCTTCCATCATTGGGGCTTGGTTCCCACTATCAGAGGGGCTGACATTTTCTCCACCATCTTACATGATGTCTTGGCTTCCCCTTGCTATAACATTTATGCGTTTCTGACACTCGAGTAGTGAAAGCAGCTAGGCCAACAGATGTTTAGTTGTTAGTTTAGACTGTGGGTGCTTAAGCATGTGTGGGGTCTGCTCTAACTCGTGTTCTTGTGACCCACCTGTTGCCACAGTACCTTGATTTTGTGACGCCTGGCTTTTTTTGACTGGACAACGTCTGAGCCAGTATGGTTCTGTGTGTCTCTGGTCTCATTTTATGATGTCGGCAGCGAGCCTTAATGCTGTTCCCTATTCTCCAACACTGGATGATGTTATAAACCCACTATATGTCCCTGTGATATAATGGGAGAAAAATCGAGGGGCACAAAACAGGCAGAGAGGATAATGATACTTTGCTTTGGTTTCATATCCAAATTCAATGAGTTTCATTCTGATTTGTGTTCAGGTTCTGGAAAGAGTCTGAACTAAATGTTAATTATCTGTAATATGTATCAGTTCAGTCAACATACAGATGATTAGGAGCAGACGTTGATTTTCTTGGCCGTGTTGAAACATGTTTTTGTTGTGAAACCGAACAGCCGGTTGATACAGAGCGCAACAGTCTGTTTTGTATTTCCTGTTAAACCTCTTTTCACTGCAGGCTCTAACAGGTCTCCCTCTGCATGCTTCAGGGTTTAACCCGTTCCCGGGTTTAATTCATGTCTGTGTGTCCTTACAGCTCATTGACATTATGCATCCCTCTGTCTTTTCTTTCCGTGTGTACCACATTTATACAGCTACATCATCATCCCCCTGACAGGTTTGGTACATTTGCCTTTTTTAAGTGACAAAATAGTTTCCCCTCCAGACTGAAGTTTGCTGTGCTCATACACTTTCCGCATTATATAATAATTGGAATGAAGGTTCCTGGGTACCTTCTAAAAGGATAAAAAAAACTTTAAGCTGGTTTTAAATCTATTTTTCATTAAGATTTAAATTCTGTATTATTCTTTGATTTTATTGGTCTGATATTTTATTTTAATCCTATATATGTTATCAGCTGTAAGAAAATAATAATAATTTACTGAGATTAAAGCTTGAAAACATCTGTGTTCAATCTACATAATATGGTTCAATTTGGGATTGAGTTGGAAGAATAATAAACTTTTCTTCAATTTTCTTATTCTGAAGTAAAGGGCCTTGATCCTGTCTGGGTTGAAATAGACGTGGACTTATCTTAGGAGCCTATGTCAGTAAACATGCCAGTATTTTTATTTATGAACTTTGAAAACTATTATAAATTCACAAACTACAAAAATCCTGATTTGTTGATTGATTTGGATGAAAAATTTGAGAGTTTTTGTCTGCTGGTTGTTGTCATGATGTGAGTCTGTGTTTAATTATTCTGATCTTTCTCAAGGATTCAAACGTGTCGCACTAAAAACGTCTGAATTTTAGCATTGAAATTGATACTTACAGCTGGAAAGGGAAATTGCTTAAACTTTCAATGCAATAAAATTCCAAGGCAAATTAGTTCAGTTTCACATAATTAAATAAAGTTTGGATTTAATGAAATTCAGTTTCAAAATTTTCCCTATACAAATTCACTTTACACAGTTTAAATTTATTTTCTGATGGCAAAAGTTTCTGACCTTAAGAAGACACCATAGTGAGCCAAAACCCAAACACTAAGAGGATGTAACACCTTTAGAGGACAAGCTTCTGTGTGTGTTTAGGTTTTAAGTGTTAGAAGAAAGACCTCTGGTGTGGCTTTGTTAAACGGTGTCAGTGTAATGCAGGCATAGAGGAAAGCTCAGGGTAGAAGATCCTCTCTGAAGATCGGGATCTTCAAGGTTTTCCAGGCCAAGGACCTCCAAAC